AATTTCAGAGAAATTTGTGGACATTGGAAATTTGTGTAAATACAGTGGACATGGGCACTCAAGCGAACTGTTGCCTCTGCAAGCAAACGTCAGCTCCTTATTCCCACACCGAGCAGCATCCTGCCTTAGCCACCATATTTCATAGCGTACATGTGCTTGCATAAATCATACATTTAGACTGGACAGGTGTTTATATTTGGTCCCTATGGCAGTCACGTAGTCGCTCATGATGCTGTGCCTCTCCCTGGCACTGGTTATACTTCCTTGTAAGAACTACAATTAGCGAGAGCTATCTTGCTCTAGGCATCTGTAGTTGATACACGCTTCCCACTGCTGGGATTTTCGTTACGTCTTCTGGAGCCCTGAAGAACCAAGCAAGGTTTTTATCTTTTTAAACCCCTCCCTATTCCTGTGTTTCCACACTGTTCGTAATGTTCTTTAGACAAAAAGGGACAGACTGTGACCTCGGCTAATGAATAAATCAGCTCCATCTGTCCACCCAGAGATAGCCTTGTAGCACAGTAGGACTTAAGGGCATATTTGTACCGCACAGCATGGTTAAAAATACCTAAGCTGATTCCAAGTAATCTGGTGTGTTCACACAGTGCAATGCAGTATTACTGGCCTGGTGCTGGGCCAGGACATAGGTAATGGTGGCTTTGAGCAGGTCTGGTTTGCTCTGAGAGGGCATCACTGGTGGTGTAGCTGCATGTTTTCACTACTTGAGGTAGCTTCTGCGTCCCTGCATGATGCTGCATCGCTCAGTATGCTGTGTCTGCTCATGCATTAAGTGGGCACAAAGCTGAGTATTGAGTACTCAAGACACGCTGTCCTACCCAAGATCTTACTAAGTGTATGCTTCTACTACATGTGGTCTTTTTTTGAAGGGTTAAGAGATGCAGACAGGAGCATAATCTTCCAAAATTTTGCAACAGCTCTGAAACTGCATCTCCATAACCTTTGGCAAATTTCTTTGCCCTCGCTCAGGTGACAGGAGAGTTAGGCTACCTGGGTAGGTTTCCTTAAATTGTTTTGAAGAGGGGAAGTGCCATCTGAGTTCTCAGTGAAGCCTTTAAGTTTTTATCGTCTAGTGGTTTGTCCATGTTAGAAAAACTTTGATTGGTGTCCTCATAACTGGGCTCTGATTCTCAGCATAAGCAAAGATTTCAGATCTGATAGTTTGTTGCCACTAAAAGGGAGCTATCTCACCCATCATCACACTTGCATCACTCAGCTTGTGCTAGAAGCAGTACTTGTTGGACTCCTGATACCACCGCTTAATCCAACAGGAAAATAACCACCCAAATAACGCCATCCCCCCTGCCCCCCCCAACCTTCCACTCCAAACCTGAGTATTTTCTTGCTGTTAGTCATTTGAACTGTCTCACAGAAGCTTTTTAGCATCACAGATGGTTTAAAGAAGGGTGCAGAACTGCACAGTGAGAAGGAGAGAAAGAAAGAAGTGGATAAAGACAGATGGAAGGGCCTGAGATCTCCCCCTTCCAGGAGCAGCGAGGCTTGAGCTTGAAGAACAGAGCTGAGGTGCCTTCCCCTAGGACCAAAGTTATCCATGTTTCTTGTGTTGTGCCTTGTTGAAATAGTTCACATTGAGACGCTTCATTTCCATAGAATATTTTTAATGTCACTTATTCCTGTCCCTGGCTTTCTTTTTTCCTTCCTGTTTCTAATCTTTTTTGCTCATGGCATCTCTTTGCTGCAGCATCTGTAATCTGTAATCTTCCCTGACATCTTTTATGTCACTTGGTATTTATACCGGCGGTCCTTTACTGACACTTTAATATCCTTGATGCAGTGTTTACATCACAGGACTTGAAAGCAAAACGCCTTCGTTTTCCTCTTGTTCCAGTGGTTTGTGTTATGGTGAAATAATTCACACAGATGTCCTGTTAGTGGGGAATTGGATCAGAGAGGTATTTGGTATGGAATTTGACTTTGCGTTTCCAGAGAGGCTTTTGGCAAATGTGCTCCATCACATTGACTTTTTCTGTCCATTCCCTGAGCGATCTTTTAACAGATCATTTACTATGACTTTTACCCAAAATATGCAAAACTTCAATTATTATTTGTTTCAATTTGCTGTAGTTGTATTTTTAGTTGCAGTCCTGACACAATGAGCTACTTGCGTAATTTTTTTTGCAAATCATTTTGCTTGAGCTGTGTATATGATGAGGGGAAGAAAAAACCACCCCAGCTTTATTGTGTCCCCTGAAAAAGAGCTTTGCCAATGATTTCAATGGGAGAAAGAGCAGGCAGCGAAAGTCAGTGAAAAACAGGTTTTAAGAATGTGCTTCTCTCTGGCAGTGAGCGAGCCTGCTTATAGTAGTGCATTTAGTTGGCTGTTATTTACATACTACTTGTACAGAAGTCATCAGGATATGGAAAAGCAAATTCTCAAAGGTTTTACAGTTTTTCTGTTGAACTGTGAGATAAATAACTTGCCCCCCAAATATGTATGTGTGTATATATGTAAATAATTTTTTTTATATAAGCAAGATTGTGGCCTTTTTTGCATTGCTGTTGGAAGAACATATTTTCTGTTTATTGTTCTACAAATGGCATCCAAAAAACCCACATGTTAACTCTTATCATTGAGGAAGGAATTTCTTTGTTCAGAAAACCACGTTAACTCAGCATTGAGGAAGGAATTTCTTTGTTCAGAAAGTTTTTTATATGTATGTATATACATACACACACATACATGTTTGTGATTTATCTATAACTGACAGATGAGGATTGCCACATACATTACTAAAATAACGTGCGATTTCTTGTTAGAGAAATTCTTTAAAATTACAAAAACATGGATGCAGAATCAGGCTCATATTGACTATGTGTACAATCCATGGAAACATATTTGTCTTAAAAATACGTGCAACAGGTTTGTTTCCTCCTTGGTTTGTCATGGCACAGCTGCAGAGGTGAGATTTTCTTTTAAATGCTTTATAAAGATTCAGAATTGGCCTTTTGCTTACTATTTGCTTCCAGATTAAACAGTGAATGGATGCTTTATTCCTATACAAATTGAGTCACTGGGCTTCAAAGTCCTCCTTTAAATTAGAATTTTTAAGAGTGTTTGTTAGAGAATTCTTCCAGGGACTTGATCGTGCTATAATTATTACTTTGAAATTTTAAAATTTCTATTTTGCTTCTGTTTGACCTAAGAAATTGCTGCCCATGCAATTCTGCTATGAAACTGATACATCTGTGCCAATCTTTATAGCACCACCCATCTTCTGACCTGTGCACAGCAAGAAATACAGGTTTGTGTGTTTAAAATGCTGCAGGAGCCAAATTCAATATGCAGGAGCTCATTCTAGCTGTTGAATATAGAACAGGTACTTTTAAAATTCTTGAATGGTATGCATGTTTTTCAAGTTAGAACATGGCTTATAAATATTAACTGGGGCAGTGATTCCAGTGATTAAGTTGCAGATACACATCAAGTAACTTTTTCAACAGTCTAATCCTTTTTATAATTATTTGTCATTACAGAAGTTCTTTCAGTTAAAAAAGAATTGAAAGTTAGGTTTAGGGCTTTACAACAGTTTAGAAGCTTTATGTTTGTGATGTATGCAGGTTTAATATTAGCAAATGTGCAAAAAATGTTACTGCACAATTTGGCTGGAAAACATGATATGGAATGGGTCCACATTAAAGCATTTTTTAAAAGAAATTCCTCTCATATTTCTTTGTTTTCGTCTCCAGAGGCATATAAGAGACTTTGAGGAGGAGCAGAGGACTTTTTTCTTTCTCCACATTTCAAACCATGAAAAAAAAAAAATCTATCTGAAGTCACTTGTGTTACTAATGCTACCATCCTTCAGAGGCACCAGAGCTGTTTATGAGCACTGTTAAAGTCTCGGGGAAATCCTCTGGTCTGCCAAGGCATGAGGTTTATAGACATTTGTTCTGTTAAATTCAATTCCGTGAAGGATTCAGTGAAAGCACTGATTTGGCTGAAGGAACAGCCCCGAGGCACTGCTGCTCACAGCCCTCGCCTGTTACCAGCTTGCCCAGGCGCCGGCCTAGAAGCCAGCTGCGGGAAGCAGGGGCTTTAGTGGAGCAAACCTCTGGGCACCGCGGTTAGTTGTGGTCACAGCCATGGCGTCCAAGATGACTGCAGGTATTCCCAGCGCAGTTCTGCTCTAGTTTCTTAATGAGAGCAGGGTCATGCCATTAACATTATGAATGTGGTAAGTAAGGTGCACTTTTTAATTATTCAGCTTTATAATTCTTAACATTGGCTTACAGGTTTCATCTTATAAAAAAATTCTAACTAGCTCAGTTTAAGCTATATGCATTCTTCAGATCCCATCAGTCTGTGAATTTGCAAAATGAGAATTACACCGTGCTTAATGATTTTTCATGTTCTCCAAGTAGTATACTAATTGTGTTTTTTCACCAGGAAGAATAGTTGCAGACATTAAGGCCTATCTCAATTTTACATGTTTTTACCAAAACTATTTCTGTCTTTTCCGCTTCTGGCACTTCCAGCAAAAGTAAACAGAAGGGAGAAATAACTTAGCATGGCATCTGAATACTTTCTCTGTGGGTTTTTTTGCTTTTTTATTTATTTATTTATTTTTATGGTATTCCGAGCAACTGCGGTTGGGGTTTAATGTGTTGAGCAGGAAGGGATATGCTTATAGCAGGAACCCAAGAGGGAAAAGCGAGCAGCAGATGTCTCAAAGCTTTAGACTTACACTTCACAGATTATTTGTCTGTATAAATCAGACAGTGCAATGTAGATTACTGCTTTTGGGGAGGGAGGAGGAAGAGTTTAGGTCATCATTGGTGGACATAGTTATTCTTATTTTCCCAAATAAATTAATTTGGGGATGAATGTTAAGATATGGTTAGAATCAGACAGTTAACAATGATTTCAGGATGCTCTAATAGGCTATAAATCTCCTGGGGACCAGGTACACCATATCAATCATGACCTAGCATAAGCAGAGAAGACAAGAGATTGAACTTACGTTTGACAGTACTGCGTGACTCCTGGAACCCAGCTGACTCTGAACCCCAGCCCAGGGCTTCACACTCGCGCTCCTCCCCTTGCCCATGCCTGGCACTCGTGCTTGCACCTCCTCTGCTCTTTTCTGCCAGCCAGCACATCTTCCAGAGCCCCACGCTGCGCTTACGCCCGTCCTCCAGGGTCTGATATACCCAGTTGGGAGTAAAGGCAGCTGCGTTGTTAAGAATAAGTGAGACCAGGGCTACCAACACAGCTGTGGCTACCAGTTTCTGGACAGTCATATCTGACTGTCAGCTTGCTGCCAGTCTCTATTTGCAGAAGACACGAGGTCTCAATCAGCTGCAGCACATTGAAATTGGACTTGAAACAGAGGCAGCTTCGCTAGGGTGTTACGAATGGCTAGAGGACATCACCGTTCATTCTCAAAGTCAACTCCAGAGGTGTTTCTGATCAAGGAAATGAGAATTTTGTGAGGTAGGTAGGAGAATTCCATAAAATAAGAACACAAAGAAGCTTTTTTAGGTCCTTCCCAGCTTTGGCTTATCCACCTTCTTGCACTTTGATAAGTAATGCCAGTCCTGTGATGAACTGAACGATAGGGAGGTCCATTCCTTGTGAGACGAGGCGAGTCCAGAAAGAATCCAGTCTCGAGGCAGGAGAGCCTGAGCTGCTGCCGGGGCAGAGGCGGGGATGCTCGCCAGCAGCGTGCCAAGCGCGCTGGGTCCTCCGAGTCAACCAGCGCCGCTCCGAAAGCCTTGTTTCCGGGTGCAAACTTCAGAATATCCCGCAAACCGTGACAAATTTCATTCTCTCAAAGCCAAGCCGAACTGGAGGTGAATGCTGTCATCCCAAAGGAGCTCCGCAAGTTTGGAGTATCTCGAGGAGTTTGCTCTGCCGTGTCCCTCTCCGAAGATCCGAGCTGCGAGTGCAGGGATCGGAGAACAGCCACTGCTGTGAGGAAAAGGCCCCCCCACCTCTCCACGAAGAGGAAATGGCTGTTTTTGTGGCTGTTTTTGGTGAGCCTCAGGGCGTAGTCGACTGCAACAAACAGAGCCACTGCCACAGCAGTCAAACATTAACAGGATGTGTTTCCTGAAAGGAAAAGACTATGGAGACTTCTAAAGTTGTACCTCCTCCCCTCGGAGAGCCCCCCTCCCCGTCTCACTCCTCCTACCCTCCCAGCAGCACAAAGCAGGGCTGCGAGGACCGGGCGGCACATCGCAGGGGAGCCCGGGAGCAAATCAGAGGTTCTCTTTGAAAGGAAGAAAAGAAATCTCCAGCCTCAACCTTCGGAGCATCAGGTCTGCAGAAACAGATTGAGGAGGGGGATTTTGAAACGCTTTTTACTGAAAGCAAAACACTATTGGGGTTAGCTGTTGAACAGCATGACGAAAGTGGTGTGTGTGGGGGGGGTCCACTGATGTCCCCCTTCCTCTCTGCAACCCTAGAAGGGAGCATGGCAGATACATAGAAAATATAAAATCTCGAGATTCTCAACCTGATAAACAAACAGACAAATTTGGGGGTGTCTGAAAAGGCAGTTGCAAGTGTTACAATGTGAATGGAGTTGAAAATCGCTGCATTGCGACTGTGCAGGGCTGGCACAGCCCTGAGCCCCACGTCCTGGTGTGCTGTGAACGCTGGTGGCTCTGCAGTGCCTCTGAGGAGGCTGGCTACCTCCCTTCAGTGCTCAGAGGATGGAAAAGCTTATATTAAGTTGCTTAATATAATGCCTCTGTTCACAATCCAGTACAGAATCGACTACCATACAGCAAGCCAGGACCGCAGCACTGGTGCTGCAAAAGCTGCAAGGAAAGCAGCTCTAATTAACAGATTAAAAAAGAGTTGTTGAGGACATTTCAAACTGTCCCTGTTTCCAGAGAGGTCTTGCAGAGTCCGGCTCTCCAAATGGCTGTTCGCTGTTTCATGTTTCCATCAGCTGCCACAGCAGGAGCTGCCGCGGGGCCAGGGACGAGGGCAGTGATCCCCAGCAGGCATTGCCCTGCTGCTGTTGTGGCTGCCAGCTTCCCCTGCCCCTCTGGGCCTTATTGCCTGTGGTTATGCCCTTCCTTGATCTGAGCCCGTCAAAATTCTTTAGGCTGAAAAAGTACTGTACAAGGTGTAGTATTAAATAGTATATTGTGAAACAAAGGTGTGACATTCTCGTCAACAGCCTGGAGAGGGAGTAGTGAGAAGTCGTGGCAGAGTACCTGCATCACCAGGCGCAGCTGCACCACACCCATCCCACCTGAGATGTTGGCACAAGAGTTCACATCAGTGTAATTAATAAAATTACATTAGAAACGGATTTAATTCTATAGCAGTTCAGTCTTACCAGCTAAGTTACTTTTGCCCGTAGTCAACAGATCCGTACTGACCCAATACGTGTAGACAAACTGGTTGGAAATTTTTTGAAAGTCAATGTTTTATTTTCTAAGACTTGTTGCTGAGAGGAGTGGAAAATATTTCAGTGAAGTTTATATGCCCCTATAATTAGGTTTCAGCTATTGCAATTGAATGTACAAATCTGGCTATGAATTCACCCCTCCTCTGTGCGCTTGGTTCATTTTTAATCCTTAAATGGATTAAGCTTTAGGTACTTTGAGTATCTTCATACTCTGACAGCAGTACAGCATCTTTGATTTCTTTTTTTCCTGTGATTGGTCAGGTTTCTATACATCTCTGGTTTTGGAAGTTTCAATATAAATAACACACTGGTACCTGCCATTCTTCAAAGAAATTTCCTAACAACAATGACTATTTTTTCATATTTTATAACCCATGGATTATTTGTTATTATTTTAAGCCGGTGATTCAGCAGCAAGGCAGATGATGTTCATATACAGATAATGCCAGGAGAGATTTACCTTTAGGGAAAATCTCTTCTACCCAATCGGACACCTGCTTCTGCCCCCTCCTGTCTTTGATTTTTGTGATTTGTTGAAGTCTGAGCATGTATTTTCACAAGGACACAAACTTTGTTTGCGTGTTACATGTAAAAAAAAATATAGCGATTGTATTTTACAAAGGCTGAACAAATCAGTCTAATCATTTAAAACTCAGTCACATCTCTTCCTCTTTCCACACCAATTATTTGGTGTGAGAATATTCAAACTGTTTTGAATTCCATCAACATTAAAAATAAATCATATTCTTCCTAAGTCATACTTGTCTTTGAGCGTCAAAGGGACCAGGTGATCTAAACATCATGGCATTAGTTTGTGGTTTGAGATATATGATACTTGAGAAATTCTTCATGTTACATATGCAAATCCATGCAAGTCAATGAGTTTGCATTTAAGGCAGCTTTCCCAGAGGAAAAAAATAAATCTCTCTCTCCCATAGTGCCTCTTCTTGTGGCCGCAGATGGGTGGGTGGCTACGTGGTGAGTTGCAGCTGGGAACGGATGCGGACGAGTCAAGTGGATCAGTTCACTGCCACATAAAACACAGGAGGTGGCGCTGGGACTGGTGACAAAGTTGGCCTTAAATCAGATGCTTCATCCTTCTGGCCATGCTGAGGTGGTCATCTCCAAAAAGGCTGCATAACTTTAAGTCCATATTGTCTCTCTGTTGATGGGGACTGCCACATCACAATGATTTGGGACTTTTAGTTTTTGTGATGATGGAAATTTTTCTGGGAACCCTGATCATGACTTCCAGAGCAGAAAGGACAGCAGCACTGTGGTCTTCAGCCGGCCCGATAATACACCAGTATGGAGAGTATCTGAGGGGCAGTGCAAGGCAGTAGTAATTGCTGTTGGCTGCAGTAATTCAGCAAGCACACGATGAATTTTTTTCCCATGGCAAAACTTCTGGTGGATGTTCTTGTCTGGAAGTACCCGTTTGCTAATTGATTGTTCCATGCTAGAGAGTGGTTCTGCTCAGTGGTAGGTTAAATTACTTCATACAATTTGCATAGCAGCTTATAAAGCATTTTGGGTCTTTCTGGGTGAGAAATCAGTTATGTAAATGTAATTTTACTTTCAGAGTCTCAATAATGTAGATTATATCAGATAACTAGTTTCTTCCATACTGGATTTATCCATTTACTACCTAATAAATTCTGTTTACAGTTTTTTATGCAGGGCACAATCTTTTTTCTATTATTTTTTAATAGGCAAATGGCTTTTTATCATTCTATTAAACTAATAACAATATCTAAAGATGTAAAATTGGGGAATTCCCCAAGTGAGTAGATTGCACCAAGTCAAAATTAAATGAGTTTTGCAAAGATCTGGTAAATTTTCCTAGCCTGCTCATACCAAAATGGCTCAGTTATTCAATTTTTGTTACAGTTTTAATCAAATGGTTCTTGTTGGCACGTTCACAGTCAGTGACATTCTCTATCTTCACTCAGATCTTGTGCTTCCAGTTCAAAACAGTCCAGGAATCCTTCTGATCCTTTTAAAAAAAAAAAAAAAAAAAAAAAAAAAAAAAAAAAAAAAAAAAAAAAAAAAAAAAAAAAAAAAAAAAAAAAAAAAAAAAAAAAAAAAAAAAAAAAAAAAAAAAAAAAAAAAAAAAAAAAAAAAAAAAAAAAAAAAAAAAAAAAAAAAAAAAAAAAAAAAAAAAAAAAAAAAAAAAAAAAAAAAAAAAAAAAAAAAAAAAAAAAAAAAAAAAAAAAAAAAAAAAAAAAAAAAAAAAAAAAAAAAAAAAAAAAAAAAAAAAAAAAAAAAAAAAAAAAAAAAAAAAAAAAAAAAAAAAAAAAAAAAAAAAAAAAAAAAAAAAAAAAAAAAAAAAAAAAAAAAAAAAAAAAAAAAAAAAAAAAAAAAAAAAAAAAAAAAAAAAAAAAAAAAAAAAAAAAAAAAAAAAAAAAAAAAAAAAAAAAAAAAAAAAAAAAAAAAAAAAAAAAAAAAAAAAAAAAAAAAAAAAAAAAAAAAAAAAAAAAAAAAAAAAAAAAAAAAAAAAAAAAAAAAAAAAAAAAAAAAAAAAAAAAAAAAAAAAAAAAAAAAAAAAAAAAAAAAAAAAAAAAAAAAAAAAAAAAAAAAAAAAAAAAAAAAAAAAAAAAAAAAAAAAAAAAAAAAAAAAAAAAAAAAAAAAAAAAAAAAAAAAAAAAAAAAAAAAAAAAAAAAAAAAAAAAAAAAAAAAAAAAAAAAAAAATCACCTCAATAAACACTTCTCTACTGATAAATGTGCAGAAGTATATTCAATTGCAGTACTTACTGCATTCCTTAGGACACAAGAGTTTCGTTTGATACAATTCACACTGAACAATAGCTTGGTGTTGATTTTATCAGGATAAGTTTGGAATAGACAAATCTATGTATTTAATATGATATTACAGATCCTATTTTTTAAAGCTTTTGTTGATTTATCAAATGTTCTGTTTCTGCCAGGGAAAAGTTTTTAGGAATAATCTAGACAGCTTTTAATGGTTTGATCATACATGAAAAATGCCTGGCATATTTCTCAAAGAAGCACTTATTTAATATGATTAACGCTATCAAGAATCTCATTATATTGTTGCAACTTTTCATATATTATTTAGTTCCTTGTTATCTTTTAGTCCCACTGAACAGGGATAACCAGAATCCCATAAATGCATTTTAAAAGCATCTAACGTAATTTAGCTACATCAGATAAAACTTTGTTTTTTCAAGTCTTGAGTTTTTTCCGGGTTACAAGAGAACAGACAGTAAGCCACCAATTTTGACATGTTAACTCTCTATTTATTTTGCAGTGGTTTGAAGATAAGATCAGTGTCCATTTTTATAGATGTGTTTAAAATTTTACATAGTACTTCTAAACGATCAGCTTTTCATGCCTGCTAACCTTACGCGTCACGTAGTTTGTCTCATTTGACCATGTCCAAGCCCTCTGTAGCCGTTATCGTCCACAGCGTGATGCTTTTATCCTATGACAGGTCTGTCGCATCACATGTATGTAAAGGTGATCATAAAGGAATTACCTGGTCAGAATCAGCC